ATTAAATAATTAAGTTCCTAAAGCTCTTTTGCAGCCCATGCATGCGTATATGTATGTTTGTATGTATATACGAAGGGCTCTGTTTTTATACCCTGAATCCATTTTCAATGAGAAATCAGGGTATAATGGTTTTGTTGAAATGTATGTAACAGGCAGAAGGAGGCGTGGCAGACCCCACAAAGTATATATTCTTGATCAGGGCGACGAGCTGAGTTGATTTGGCCCTGTCCGTCTGTATGTAACAGGCTGAAGGAGGCGTGGCAGACCCCACAAAGTATATATATTGTTGATCAGGGCGACGAGCTAAGTCGATTTGGCCCTGTCCGTCTGTCTGTCCGTCCGTCCATTCGTATGTATGAACGCGTCGATTTCAGAAGATATAAGAGCTAGAGACTTGAAATTTTTTTTTCCTAGGTCCGTGTATATCGCGCGAATATCAAGTTTTTCTTTATATATCGATAAGTACTCCCGATATTTTATTATCGATCAAAAACCTTATATAATTTAATTATATCTCCTACACCTTTAGAGCTAGAGCTTGCAAATTTTTAATGTAAACTTATATGTATTTTATATAATTTCGATTTTTGTTGTAATTTACCACCCACCCCTATATCCACCCCCTCACCCTCACCTTTGTAAATGGCGTATTTCAAGTACTAAAGACATGTGCTTTGGAATGTACATACATTTTCACCATATAATTACGCCCTGAAACTTTCATTAAGATTGTATGTATAGAAATTAAATTATTCCACAAATAAATTCTTATAATGTTACCTACACTACAGCGCAGCCCAAGCGCAGTTAGCAGAGCGCATTCTAATACGTATGTGTGTATGTATGTGTGTCGAAAAGAAGTGCAGACTGATTAGAATATCAGATTAGAGGGTTCAGGGTATCTCCTAGTCGAGCAGTCTCGACTAGAGTCCTCTTACTTGTTTTATTATACCCTGAACCCATTTTCAATGGGAAATCAGGGTATAATGGTTTTGTTGAAATGAACGTAACAGGCAGAAGGAGGCGTGGAAGACCCCACAAAGTATATATATTCTTGATCAGGGCAACTAGCTGAGTTGATTTGGCCCTGTCCGTCTGTCCGTCCGTCCGTCTGTCCGTATGTATGAACGCGTCGATTTCAGAAGATATATGAGCTAGAGACTTCAAACTTTTTTTAAAATGTCCGTAATTACAGCGCGGATATCAAGTTTATCATTTAAAATCGATAACTCATCCCGATCTTTTTTAATCGATAAAAAACCTTATCGAAAACCAGTTATAAAATTATATCTCCTACACCTTTATTGCTAGAGTCTCTTAAATTTTTAATGTATGCTTATATGCAATTTATGCAATTTCGGTTTTAGTTGAAATTTACCCCCCACCCCTATGTCCACCCCCTCACCCTCATGTTTGTAAAAAGCCTATTTCAAATACTAGAGACTTGCACTTTGGCAAATACATGCATATCCATGTTGTTATCATAATCTAAAAGTTTCATGAAGATCGTATGTCCATAAAAACAGTTATTAAACAATTAAGTTCTCATAGTAAGCGCACACTGCAGCCCATGAGTGTTTATGAGTGGGTGCTTGTGTGTGTATGTGTGTGTGTATGCGTGTGTGTGTATGTATGCCTGTGTGTGTGTGTGTGTGTGTGTGTGTGTGCGTGTTTCTTGTGTAAGCTGAAAGACGCGAAAAATTATTGAAATAGCTATTGCTCCAAGGGTTCAGGGGATCTCGTAGTCGAGCAGTCTCGAGTATAGCTTTCTTACTTGTTTTTAAGCGATAAGTGTAATAAGATTTTAGTCAGGTTTTGTTCAAGGCATGTAACAGGCGGAATGAGGCGTGGCAGACCCCATAAAGCATATATATTGTTGATCAGGGCGATGAGCTGAGTCGATTTAGCTCTGTCCGTCTGTCCGTCCGTCCGTCTGTCCCTATGTACGCGCATATCGCAGTAATAAATTTATATCTGCTACATCTTTAAAGCTAGAGTCGCCAAATTTTAAATATAGATTTATATGTAGTTTTTAGAATTCCGAATTTTGTCAAAATTTACCGCCACACTTATATTCAACCCCTCCCCCTCACTTCACCCATCTTTGTAAAAGCCGTATTTCAAATACTAGAGACTTGTACTTTGACAAATGCATGCATATCTATGTTATATGTATTTAATTTAAAAGTTTCATGAAGATAGTCCATCCACAAAAGTTATTAAACAATTAAATTCCCATAGTTAGCCACCACTGCAGCCAATGCGTGTTTATGCGTGCCTGCCTATATTTGTCTGTGTGTGTGTGTGTATTTCTTGTGCAAGCAGTAAGACGCAAGGAATTATTGAAATATTAGTTGTCCGAAGTGTTCAGGGGATCTCGTAGTCGAGCAGTCTCGACTAGAGCTTTCTTACTTGATTTTTGTGCTGTTGGATACATTCCAAGCAAATCGTTCGAACATTGCATTATGTCACCAAGCAACAATGATCTTGATCACAAAATTTATGTATTTTCTAATTTGGCAAGTTGCCATAATAGTCAAGGTAAGATGTAGTCAGTAGGCCCTATATATCCGTCAATGATCACTTTTCTTTGGCATGGTTTTTTTTTTCGTTATTTTATGTGCAAATAAGCAAGTCAAAATACTATGTTAGGGAATGTTTGGCCAGAGGTCACCATAAACACGATCTAGATTTGATTTATGTATATCACATTTCTATTTATACACAACAGCACACATTGCTATAAATAAGCACGCACTTCGTATGTTGAACGTGGGGACTGCAGTTGCTCGACACTTATGCCTACACAATTCAATATTATTGAATAACACCACTAGTTTCTCAATTCTCATGGAATTTTCAAAGTACAAATACTAAGTAATTTGGTTCAATAATAACTGCTATAATTGAATTTTGTTGCAACCAACTTCACACTTAACCGCTTTACTGTAATATATTTTGAAAGCTTTAATTATATAAGATTGTTTGAAAAAAATGTAAAATTTCTTGGAATAGTTTTGGTTTGGTACCCTTTCGACGATGAAAGATCAATAACTGTATTTTCGGGTTTTTTTTACAGTTCTAAATTTCAAGTAAGGCGAAAATTATGTGAGATGTACAAATAAGACGTGTTGACTGCACGCAAATGGCAAAATTGAATTGCAAAATTTCGTTCCAGCTACTTTGATTTCGAGGATGCACCATGTCCTTAAACTAACTGCTCGAGACATCGCTGAAAGATGAAAATATTCAAAAGTGGCCGTTCACAAGCTTTAATTTCGAAACATAACATATGGGCTCCCCATATTCTTGCAAAACGAAATATTCACATTAACAAGTATTATTCGCCTATCAAACGTGAAAGATTCATTCTTGAAGGTCATTTTTACTGGTCATCCCTTGTACCAGTTTTTTGCCAGTAAGGCACAGAAGTTTTTTGAGGATGGAATTAACCGCTTGCCCGATGGCAAAAGTTATTGGATAAAACAATCAATAAAAATTTTGCAAAAAAGTCTTTAAATAACAAAAATAAATAAATAAATAAATAATTAAAAAAAAAAAAATAAAAATAAATAAATAAAATAAAATAATGGAAGTGTCGCAAATTTAGGGAAACTATAGCTCACTGCTCAAAAGATCAGTCTACATAAAAACTTATATCGCTCCCTTTTAAAAGGTATGCCATAAGTTTTTAAGGATATGTGCTACTTTCACTACTTATGTGCATTTAAATTGTGAAAAATATAATATTTTTCTATTTTCTACGTCCTTTAGCAGATGAATCTTATAAATTTTTATAAAAGAAGAGCTCGAAGCTGTGGATCTCTAGTTTTAATAGCAACGAAATGGTTTGAGCTCATACGATAATATACTTTTTCCACTTCAAGCTATTTGTAAGGTATAAACTCCTATTGAGATTCGATATTTAGAAAAGATAATTATGAACGCTTTTCATATTTACTGGCGACTATCGATGTCAAGAATTTAATGCTTAAAGTTCTGACTTACCATCACATTGTTTCTGATGTTGAGTTTCAATATTTTCATGCGCTGCCCTTGCCACCCAATTGTCCCTAGCGAACTTCTGCATTCTGCTCTATTTCCGCCTAGAATCCACAGTGATTGCCTAATAATCAATACGCTTCCTGTACGTGAATGTTGGATGTAAGTGAAAAATGTTAAACGCTTCGCGCACAAATTTTGTTTAACGTTTAAATTAGTGTTAATTTCAACCGGATTTTCTCGTGCTCAAATTAAACTATGCTGTCTGCTTCTGTATTGTGTATATGTACAAAACGAAATTGACGTCTCGGCCTGCTCCAACCAAGCCATATGAAAAGGAAAAGCACACTTGATTTAATATTGAAATTACTATATTTTGACAAAAATGTCTACAGTGACGAATTAAATTATTTTAAACATTACTGAAACTTAAGTTTTTTGAGTTTATTTTTTTTTTTATAAAAAAAGAATTAACCAAATAGAATATGGTATCTATTTTTAAACAAAGATTAAATGGTTTTATCAAGACCATCAGAGAGCACGTTATTGATTATTTAAAACAAATTAGATCATATTGGAAGTAAGAATTTAAGATTATGTACATATGTACATTATATATTTATTGTATTACTCGTGTTTTATGTAGTTACTGTATTTTATGTATAGTCATTTGTGCATGTTGGTAAGAATAAGTGTATGCATCCCCATGGATACGAATGAAAATAAATTATATAAAAGGTACTATAGCGTCGTCAATTGGAACGCCATATAATGTTTCTGACTTCGCCGCATTCGTGTAATGTAAATGACATATATGTATTACAATTTTTGGGCATTGTCAACGTGACACCTTAGTTATGTGCCACCATTACATTGTTTAATCAATAACTTGAACAAACCCAATGGCAACACAAATAGCAATAAGAAATTGGTTTGATAACTCTGGGAATTTAATTTGAAAATCAATTAAAGAAATTACATCTGTCTTTGACTTTCAGAATTTAGTTATCATCTTCACAATTCTTGACAAAAATGGGACGCAAAATAACTGTGGCGGTAACTACGCTCAACCAATGGGCTCTAGACTTTGAGGGTAACATGGCCAGAATTTTGCAGTCCATACTGGAGGCTAAGGATATGGGCGCCAGTTATCGAACTGGTCCAGAACTGGAGGTATGGTAAGTACATAGAAAAGAGCTTTTGGCATTACTTACAATATTTTATTAACTTTTGACAGTGGCTACAGCTGCGAAGATCATTTTCGCGAACCAGATACTTTTCTCCACTCTTGGGAGACATTCTTAGAAATCATGATGTCCCCTTTTTGGTTAGCGTCAACAATTCCCATCTCTAATTTCTATGCGGCTATTATTGATTTTATTGTTTGACTTACAGCGCAAATATGCTAGTGGATGTGGGCATGCCAGTGATGCATCAGAATGTTGCTTACAATTGCCGCATAGCATTCTTTAATCGTAAACTGTTGTTAATCCGTCCTAAGATGGCAATGTGCGACGATGGCAACTATCGTGAGTCCCGCTGGTTTACTGCCTGGACCAAAGCGCAGAAAACGGAAGAATACTTGCTGCCCCACCTTATTAAAGAACAGACTGGTCAAGAAACGGTGCCTTTTGGTGATGCGGTAATTGCAACCCCCGATACATGTATCGGTTATGAGATATGTGAGGAGCTATGGAATGTTCGCAGCAAACATGTAGAGATGTCACTTTCGGGTGTTGAGATAATTGTTAACGGCTCTGGAAGCTATATGGAGCTTCGTAAAGCACACATAACCAACGATCTCATTTGCAACGCAAGCTTTAAGGCAGGAGGTGCCTATCTTTTCAGTAATTTACGAGGCTGTGATGGCCAAAGAGTTTATTTTAATGGTTGCTCTGCCATAGCACTTAATGGTGATGTTTTGGCGCGGGGAAAGCAATTTGCACTACAAGATGTTGAAGTAACTTTAGCCACCATTGATCTGGAGGAAATTCGTGCCTACCGTGTTAGTCTCCGGTCACGATGTTCGTCAGCGGCCGGAGCAGTAGTCTATCCTCGAATACGCTGCGACTTTGAGATGTCTACACATAATGACATATTTAAGACCGCAACGCCAGCATTGCATTTTACGTATTCCTCGCCAGAGGAAGAAATCGAATTGGGACCAGCATGTTGGCTTTGGGATTATCTACGACGTTCCGGTCAGGGTGGCTTTTTTTTACCACTCAGTGGAGGTGTTGATTCCAGTAGCTCTGCAACAATAGTTTATTCCATGTGCCGGCAAATAGTACAGGCAGTTCAACATGGCGATGCACAAGTGCTGTATGATATACGCAAAATACTTGCTGATTCTGATTATACCCCCATTAATGCAGCGGCGCTATGTAATCGACTTTTAGTCACATGCTACATGGGAAGCGTCAACAGTAGCAAAGAAACGCGACGTCGTGCTGCTCAACTGGCAAACCAAATTGGCAGCTATCATATTGAGATTAGCATCGATTTGGCAGTAAACGCACTGCTGGGGATTTTTAATGCAGTAACGGGACTGACACCAGTTTTTCGCACGCAAGGCGGTTGCGCTCGGCAAAATTTGGCTTTACAAAATATTCAGTCCCGTATACGCATGGTATTGGCTTATATATTTGCTCAATTAATGCTTTGGGTTCGCAACAGACCGGGTGGCTTGCTTGTTCTAGGCTCATCTAATGTTGATGAATCGTTGCGTGGCTATCTAACGAAATATGATTGTTCTTCAGCGGATATTAATCCTATTGGTGGGATATCTAAGACAGATCTACTAAGATTTCTGTCTTATGCAAAAAAAAAGTAAGCAAATTTGTTTAAAGTAATTATCAAATTATTAAAATATTAATAATAATAATAATAATAATAATAAACACATTAATTTTATTTATTTAAGATACAATCTTACTGCACTAGAATCTATAATCGACGCTCCGCCCACAGCCGAGTTGGAGCCATTGCTGGAGAATGGGCAGCTGTTGCAAACAGATGAAGAAGATATGGGAATGAGCTATTCCGAATTGAGCGAATATGGTCGCCTGCGCAAACAATATTTTTGCGGTCCCTACAGCATGTTCTGTAGACTAGTGTCTACATGGAAAAGCGATTTAACACCTAAAGAAGTAGCTGAAAAAGTAAAACATTTCTTTCGCTGCTACGCAATTAACCGACATAAAATGACTGTACTGACACCTTCAGTACATGCCGAAATCTATAGTCCCGATGACAATCGATTCGATCATCGGCCATTCCTTTATCGTGCAAATTGGAGTTGGCAATTTAAAGCTATTGATGATGAAATCGATAAGTTGCAGCCTGCCTACGCTCCTTCATCTACTCAAATAAGGCCGAATGATGATCTGGTGCCCTCACTTGACACCAGTACTCAGCAATCTTTTCATATGGATGACTCAAAGCACTCGTCACCAATGTCCTCTGCATCTTTCGATGGTGTGTCTACTGCAGGCCAGTTGCTTATTGACAATGTCGAAACGCAAGGTGCAAAACCCAGCGGATTTTCAAAAGTGCACGTGAATGTTCTTGGCAAGCTTAAGGATCGCACTGGTATACCAGTCTAATTATTTGATATGTTGAACTGTTATATCTTAATAATTACCAAGCTATTGAAAATTACGACGATGGCGCTATGGTCAAAAAGTTCGATATTAGTTGTTGATATGTAACCGTAAATGTAGTTAAACTTTGAAATTATTGTGTGGGTGATTGAATTGAGGTCGAAAAAATTGTGAATATGGAAATTCATCGCTTTGGAATCAGTAATATACTCCAATAACTAGTTTTCTATGATTGTGAATGTGTAAGTTTTGTTGGTAAGCAGAAAACTTTTAACAAATATATGCGTGCTTCGAAAAGTATTGCTTGAAAAGAAAATTAGTATATGTTCTCGTATCAGAAACCAACCAACAACTAACGCATTATTTATTACGGGCCACATCAGTTTTTGCGAAGAAACTAAAAAGGATAAATTAATTATGGTATTAAAAGCTACCAGGGAAAAAAAAAACTTTGACTGAACAAGTCAGTGATCTCTTAATGATCTACCAATTATGTATCTAGCAAATTAGAATTAATTGTGAATGTTCAGAATGAGAAGAATAAAAATGTAATTAAATTTAACATTTTATAAGTGTTGCCCAAAACCAAAATAAAAAGATCTGAAATCCTATAATAATTTAACAAATATATGTACATATGTGAAAATTGAACTTTATTTCATAAAATCTGTCTTATTGACCATAGTGGATTGCCTGTATGTTTGTATGAAACCCATCATCAGTAGGAAAACTAAATTGTATACAATATAATGATGATAAATATATCTTGTCATATTACTGAAACACTACATAGCATTAAGAACACTTTATAACAGCAATTCTCTAGCTCGACCGAGATGGTCAAATGTTGAACAAAAGATCCCTCTATGCTCAATGTTTCCCTTGCTCTCTCTCTCTCTCGATGCTCTCAGCTCTCTCGAATGTATATATGTATGTATGTATGTGAGCACAAGCAGCAGCTCACGAAATTTGAAATTTCGTCGCAGCAAGAACCCATGCCTTCCCTTCGTTTTCGTTATTATTTGAGGGAAGGGTATGAAAGCGTTGGTGCTCATAATGAAAATGCTTTCGCGACGAGCGTGCACGCACACACTCTCCCTTGCTACATGTATGACCATTTGTATGCCTGTGTGCGAAGCTCTTGCTGCCTGTAGCAATTTTAAAGCCCAACATTTGCATTTGGTCGATCTAGTGAAGTGCCCACATACATACATACATATATTCATTTGATTGTGTGTACGCACGGGACGCGATGCTCACAATTATGGGATATCACTTGTAGAAGCATTTGTATGCCTTTACATGTGCGTGTGTGTATGTGCATGTGAGTATGCATGGGACATGAACATTGGCGTGTGCCTACCACAACATAAAAGTGTGTGAAAGATTTTGGGCTCGAATTGCAAGATCGCGCTTAGATTGAAGTATAAATCTTCGTATTCATTAAAGCTGAAGCTTCAAGGTCTAATAGTATAAAAATTACGCTGGAAAAACAAAATCAATTTATCAATTATTCTCGATAGAAGAGAAATAGGATGGGTTATTAGAAAAAATATGATAAGCTGAGTATGGTATACACGAGTATACATGTCAAGTTTTAAGTCTTTAACTCTTATAGCCTCTGAGATCTAGGGGCTCACACGGACGGATGGACAGGGCTATATCGACACAGCTCGCTGCCACGCCTCCTTCTGCATGTTACATACTTTTAACAAAACCATTATACCCTATTTTCAGAAGAAGAAGTAAGAAAGCTCTAGTCAAGACTGCTCGACTACGAGATCCCCTGAACCCTTCGAGTTTCAATAAATTTTCGAATTAGGGCAAAAGCCGAAATTCTATAAAGTATATATAAATCTACATTAAAAATTTTGTGACTCTAGATCTAAAGATGTAGCATGTTACTGATTGATATTCAAGCATACGAACAGACGGGCGGACGGACGGACGGACAGAACAAGAATATATGCATATATGTACTTTGTGGAGTCTGCTACGCCTGCTTCTGCATGTTACATACATTTCACAAAACCATTATACTGTAATTAAATAAAAGTTGACCGCTTGGTTTGATCGTTGAGCAGAGAATGTTCTCCGTATTTTATTCAAATTAAATCTTAGCCTAAAATACATAGAGTTTACATAAAGAATTCTGTCGCTAAAAGCAGCGGCAGAATGGAGGTAAATAGCATGTCGTATGTGTGTGTGTATATGTTTGTATGTACATGCAGAAGGCATATACATATATTCAGGTGTTTAAGCTACGGCGTGGACGAGAACGTAACAATGCTTACGTTGCAGATCCCACGCTGCACGTCAGTCTATACATAAGTGACCGATCCTATGTATAGCTGTTATAATATAAATAAAGCAACAAAGTGTTGCTATGTTGTGAGCATGATACTCTTACTTATATTTTAGTCATATGTCAACTTCATATATTGTATACACTACAATACTGTGAGCATATGCTTATATGACATACAACATACTACACCTCCCCTTTAAAAAAAAAAATAACGTAATATAATGTAGTTATTTAAAATAAAATTTATTATTATTTTTTTTCTTTCTATACGTTATGTTGTATTCTTAAGACAAAATATTTTATTTTTTATTTATATTTTTTATATTATATATTTATATTTCTATTTTTTTTTTTTTTTTTTAAAAAAAAAAGTTTTTTTTTTTTTTGTATTATATTATTGTTATGAGTGTTTGAAGCTGCCGATCTTTTTCGACAACTCTGGCTCCAATCATTTACGAAGGCACAAAATAAAAGCCAAAACGATATAATTTATCTTATATAGGCGGAGTTAATTCGATTCGAGACAAAATATGTAGATGTTGCGCGAATGAAGACCGTTTTTGTACAGAGTTTAAAAGAATATAAGTAAAGAGGAGTATGCAATTAACAGAGCGGATGAGATTTACATATGTATGTGTGTTATGCTTTGTTATGTGCAAGAGTGCGCTAACAGCGAATGAGAATGACAAAGGTAAGAAATTAACTTAAGAGAAGCTTATTTAACTATTAAGAGCAATTATTAGCTGCTGTGCCGAACATCCTTCCCACCGTTAAAATACCATGACTTTTAACAGGATCATCAACCGGAAGGACGCACAGCTTATTGACAGCTCGACGTGTAGTTCCAGTGGGTGTACGCAGAACAGCGACTCTCACGGCTCCATCGGCTCCAGCAATGATCTCAACGGCCCGGGCTAATGGCCACTTCAAAGGTGGCAGGTTTTCATCTTTCACACAGACGACATCGTTGACCTTGATAGAAGGCAGGTGGGTCTGCCATTTTCCACGCTGTTGCAGAATTGTGAGGTATTCCTCAGTCCATCGCTTCCAAAACAACTGCTGTATGTATGTCATACGCTGCCAGCGATCGAGGCGATTGCAGTTGATCCGAGATAGGTCTGGTTCGGGGAAGTCGATAAGTGGTCGACCAATCAGGAAATGTCCTGGAGTGAGAACTCCAAGATCATCAGGGTTTTCTGAAATTGGAACAAGAGGACGAGAATTGATTATAGCCTGAATTTGGCATACCAATGTGCGCAGTTCGTCGAAACCAAGAAGTGCCGATCCCATAGACCGATATAGGTGCCTTTTAGATGTCTTCACTGCTGCCTCCCAAAGACCGCCAAAATGTGGCGAACGAGGTGGTATGAATTTCCAATCGAAGCTGTTGTTGATGCAGTAGTTGTGAACTTCAGTACGATGTTCCTGGCTCAAAAATAAACGCCTCAGATCCGCCAACTCGTTCCGTGCACCCACAAAGTTGGTTGCGTTGTCTGACCAGATGCATGTTGGAATGCCGCGTGTACTAACGAAACGCTTGAGGGCGCCCAAAAAGGCAGCTGTCGACAGATCCTTTGCAAGCTCCAGCCATACAGCCTTAGTTGTGAAACAAACGAACACGCAGATGTAGCATATTACTGATGCTCTATTTCGTCCATCGGGCTTGTAATAAAAAGGTCCACAATAGTCAACTCCAGTGATTGTGAATGCCGGTGAGCACTGTGCACGCTCCTTAGGCAAGTCTGCCATTATATGCTCAACTAGGCGAGGCCAGGATCTGCAGCAAATTATGCATTTTCGCAAAGCTCGGGCAACAGTTTTCATGCCGCCTATGGGCCAAAACTGCAGCCGAATAGCTGCAAGCAAAGCCTGCGGTCCGGCATGGTGATGCATTTGATGAAAATTAAGGGATGGTTTTTGGGTAAAATAATTGGGTGACGCGCATCGAAGCCGAGAGTAGAATGCCCCAAACGACCACCACCAAACGACTTAGTAGACCAAAATCATCCATAAACGGAAATAGCGAATGGCGCTTGACGAGTGTATATTCCTTCCATTCTGTAGGGCAGAGTATTCCGGTTGCAACTGAGCTCTTTGAGCAAGACGACATAATAGGAACGATCCTTGACGCAGATCATCCGATGATAACTCAGGAGATTTTATTTTCCGGATGAATTTAGGAACATAACCAAAGATTCGCTTCATTATTCCGAATGAATTTATGTACTTGAATGACAAAGAGATGTCCACATGCTCTGCCGACAACAAGACTCTTTGACGCATTTCAGGCAAACATGCTTCAGACAAGCAGTGCCTAGGCCAATAACATTTTTCCTCTTGCAAAAAAGGAGGTCCATGCATCCATAATTTCGAGTGCAAGAGCTCTAACGGTGCTGCTCCTTTAGATAACATATCTGCAGAATTCATCTCAGTTGGCACGTAATGCTACTCCATGCCGATTGTGAGCTGCTGTATCGCACAAATCTTGTTAGCAACAAAAACATTGAATTTGGATGGCCAAGACAAGACCACCGCTGAATCTGACCAGCAATGCATCTCACATTCGAACAAGTTCAGTTTCTCTATCTCGCTTATCAAGTTCGCAAGCAGATATGCAGCGCATAACTCAAGCTTAGCCACAGTGAGGGTCTTTAGTGGGGCGACTCTAACCTTGGAACAGAGTAGCTGCACTTTAACAGCATTATTCTTCGATGACCGAACATAAACACAAGAGCCATAGGCCTGAAGGCTAGCATCGCAGAAGGCATGTAATTCAACTCTTGCTTTAAGTTGGAGTACATAACGAGGAAATGTTGCATTGCTCACTTGATGAAAGTCCTTACGAAATTCTCTCCAAATCGTTTCCAATGATTGTGGTAGACTCTCATCCCATTGTAGCTTGTCTCTCCACATGCGTTGCAAGATGATTTTTGCCCTAGTTAATGTTGGTCCGATCAAACCTAACGGATCGTATCATCTCGCAATGGTATACAGAACTGAACGTTTTGTGTGTTTTCCAACACTAATTTTTGGCTCGAAAGTGAATACGAAGCTATCTTTTCGAGGCTCCCAGATGAGTCCAAGAGTTTTTGTCACATCGGTCCCATCGCCGAGTTTGAGAAAACTCTCCTGCTCGATTTCTGGAACCCCGCGAAGAATGTTGATTGAGTTTGAGCACCATTTTCTCAATTTGAAGTTGCCTCGCTCAAGAAGATTGGTGGTTTGTTTCATTATGTCGCGAACTTCTTCAACTGAATTGCCTACTGAGATCAGATCGTCAATCTCGCAAAACAGTTTTAGCTC